CCTGTTTGGATATTTTTTTCTTCCTGTTTGTGCACAACTTATTGATAAAGATGTCATGGTTAAGTATGCCCCACCTGAGCAGCTTTTACAAGTTTCTGGTTTTCTGCCCACAAATCTCTGAATGTTAAGAAATCATAAAGGATTGTCAAAACTTATGCAAAGCTTTGTAATCAAAAACTGAGTTAAAACTAATGGCATAAACAAAACTTCCCAAAATACCGTTTAATGGCATATAACAACTTCAGAATGTTCTCTTTGCCTCTCTAGCAATATATTATTGCCATGTACTAAGACAAGGACTGACACTAGGTACAGTAACAGCAACAATTCCACCACAGCTGCTGAACAGTACTGCAAAGGAAATTGTTTTAAGAGAAATGTCTGAAAAAGTGTACGTTTATGCAGATGTCCAGGAAGTGAAGAATTCCACCATGATATTTTTCAACATTGTGAAATGTTTATTTCTCTTTTCTTCCTCAAAAAAAGGAAATAGTCCAGAGGAGAATTGGTAAGGAGAATCCCTAGAATGTACATCTGTCTTACTCTCCTTCCAGTGAAGTACTCTCTCCCAAGGTGATAGTGTCTTATGTCATGCAGCTGCTTTTAGGTTCTTTTAGCATTTGAGTCCTCAAATAGATCTGCTATTAAAAAATTACCAAGTAATTGCAGAGATTGGAACAGTGGTGAAGTCAATAGTTTTTCTCACATTAAAAGTGAAAGGAGCAAATGCAGTAAAGATCTCCAAAAGGTCTCTTTACCAATAGCATCTCATTGCAGTATGGAGAAATAAGAGCGAAACTTAAACATCCTATCATGTTCTCAGTATCTGACACAGGCTTGGTCCAGTACATTAATATTATATTGCAATAGTAAAGATGCTTTTATGGTGTGTAAAGTTGCCTTACCTCTCTTTAGTTCCTTGCTGTATAGAAAATGTAGTATGGTAAACCTCATTTGCAATGGTATAACTAGAGCCACAGCACAGTGGTACTATTAAGATTACATAAGCAGCAGAAAATAACTACAATAAACCCACTGCTCTTATAGCTGCTGGTAAAGGCCTATGTTCAGGTAAACTTCACAAGGTTCCTGAAGCTAGATTAGATGCCTATGAAAAAAAGAGTAAAACAAAGCACATCAAGAAATGAAGGTAGCTGGAAATGAATGGCTATGATGGAAGTGTACTTGTTAAATGACTCCTGCATGTCAGAAAGTAAATTCTGCGCAACCCTGAAGTGCTGCCACAGTGCTACATGCACTGAAGTGCACGGCCATACCAGGGATTTCAGTTTTCAGATAGAAGCAGTGAAGCTGGCTGTCACACCTGAGTATGAAAGATAACATCAATAAGCTTATGACAGAAAACTTGAAGATGTGGACAGGATCAAACTGCTCCGTGTAAATGCAAATGGCTCAGACCAATGAAAGGTCTGTGTACCTTATAGACTAGTTGTCCACTTTTTCTGGTTATATCAGCTTGTCTGTTTAAAAAATACCCATTTCCAGGGGAATCTGAGTCCTCTAACTATCACAGATGTAAAATTTCAATAGAAGACTGTTAAGAATTCTACTATCTGCATTCTGGTCAAGTGCACAAAAATTAATAGGAGTAACAACTTCATTTCAAATATGAAAGTCAGGTTGGTTCCTCCTGGCTTTCAGAAAATCTTTTGTATGGCCAATATGTTACTTCTGACACAAAAACAAAAACAAACAAACAAAAAAAAACAGAAAAAAAAAGAAAGAAAAACAGAGCAGCAAAAATCAAAATATATGAAGAAATACAGAACTGGCATGGAGCACTCCATTTCAAGCCAACTCTGAGATCAAAGGGTCAAATTTTTACAGCTTGTAGGAGAATCTATGGGAAGCAGAAAGTGGAGCTGCAACTACTGCACAAACTGAATTAACTATCTTGAATGGTTCTTCTTCTCTGGGAAAAAAAATGAATGAGTAAGGGGCAGTCAATCATACAGGAATTTATTTCAATATGTAGTATTTTCTCTGCCTTCAGAGATTTCCTCTGAATCTTGAAAATTGTCACATCCTTCAGATTACTCCCTTCATAGTATTAGAGCAGCCCACATCTTTCAGATTTATACAATTAGAATATAATGAGAGTTAAACTAGATCATTTATTCTACTTGTTAAACAGAACAAACCCCTCCCTCTATGCTGTTGAGCTTTTTGAAGTGGGAGTGAAAATCACACAAAAAAAAACCCCAACCTCTGACAATTAAAGCTATTAGTTTAATAACATAAAAATTGCCCTTTTGAGGTGTTACTTTTGTATCTACCATTGTCAAACTAGAAAAACATTAACTGTATCTGAAGATCATGATGAACAGGATGTAACAGAGAGCAAATAAATGCTTCGAGCATAATGAAATAAGGAACCTCAATGTATTTCTTCCATGGCAATACACCAGAAGTAAAAAGGAGGCTATGACAGCTTTTCAGTGCTCTGGGGGTTTTGGACAGTCATTCATCACCACTATAACATCTCCATTATATTTTGTATATATTTGCATATATCTAAAATAGAAATGGGGAAAGCACATATCACTCTTCTGCGTTTAGATGTTGGGCATGTGTTTGGATCCAGAAGTTCCAGATTATTATTTACCATTTAGGAGTATCCTCGTATATACAAGTTATACTTGTATAACTGTATATATGATAGTTGTATCATATCTGTGAAAAAAAGATGCACAACGATAATAACAAGGCTAATTACAGGCCTTGACATCTTCAATGTACTTTTGAAGATGAACAGTAAACTGGTAACCCAAAGAGAGAGAATTCTTCCTGCTATGGTTTAAACACTGTGTTTGCCAGAAATGCATGGGAATCATACCCCAATCAGCAGCTATTCTTTTGTACCTAATTTATATGGAATAAACTACTTTTTAAGACGCAGAGGAAGAATTTTTCTATATAAAGCATATACCCTTTTCTTCAGCTATTGATCTAGTACTAATGGGACTCAATGTTGCCCACAAAACCATTATTTTATGATAAACTGGAGTGCATTACAATGTTATTTTACTAAGATGTCTTCAGTGCACTGTAGATCTTCCACTTCTCATCTTTCAGAAAATTTAAATGAAACCTTTTATCTAGTAAGTTATATATTGCTAGCCACAAAGTGCTGAAACATGCTTTTGTGTATCTGCATTTCATTTTGGCAGAAAGTAAAATATTTTTGTCAACAATCCATCAGTAACCTATGCTCAACCACTTCTCACTGTCTGTACTGGAAGAAGGTCTGGCAGAGCGAAGGTTCTAGCAAGTGTGCTATATACTGGAAAATGTTTTTCCTTGAGACCTTGATTTTATATAAATTATGCATGTGCAGTACTTGAACCATATACAATTGCATAAAACAGAATGCAAATGAGTTATCTTGAGCAGGAGCCCACTGGGAGCACTGGCATCTGAAACATGAGACCACCTCTGGTGCCCTCTCCTGAACTGCCTTCCCTGCAGTTTTCCTGGGCTAGCCTTGTCCATGCAGGTGGCAATCATGTGACAGCAAGCTGCAGCAGGTTTAGGTCTAAATCATAACTCTGTCATTAACCCTTTGTATCCTTGCAGAGCAGACTTCACCAACAGTTAATGTTCAGTTTGTGCTTCATAACTGACAGGTCTGAATTAAAGTAGTATGATCTGCCTGTTTTATAGTTGTAACTGGCTCAGAGACACAGCTCATCTTTGCTCTAACAGCTTTCACAGAACATCTTACGCTGAAAATATTGCCTAGATGAGGAATTAAGATAAGAAAGTTGTCTTCTTAAGCTTCTCTGTACTCTGTGGTGAAACAACCCTCAGAAGTTTTTCATACAGCAATATATGAAACTTTGCACTCTGAACTTGTTTCCTCTTAACCATATTGATAGGGAATATAATTAAAACATGAGAATACTATATGAAAATTTTACAGAGACTAGCTATTTTTCTGTTAGTAAAGATAGTAGGAATCCTTTGATCATGCTGTGATTTGAATCAAGATTTCAAGAGTTAATATTAGTTTTTCTTTCAAGGTAACTGCAATACACTCATCACAATAGTTGCAGGTTTGAAATGTTGCACATAGTATGCTAAGAGACTCTCAGTTTAAAAATAACAGTAAACCAAAGAAAGTGAAGTAACTTTTAATTCTCTTTTCAAATGTGCATTTGAATTTAATACAATCTGTAAGGCACTCTCATAAGTAAAAAAAAAAAAAAAATTAAACATTCTTTTCCAAATAAGGACAGTTACAAGCCAATGGTATGCACATAAAATATAAACTTATCTGTAGCTGATAAACAGTGAAACACAAATGTTCAGGTTTTGGATGCATTGCAAGGTAATGTCATTTCTGTATTATGATATGACCCAGAGTAAATATTGGCACTGTAAATGATTTCTCATTGGGGTTAGAAACTTGTATTCTCTTCATATCCCAGTAAAAAATAAACTCTTTAATAAATAAATATATAAAATAAATATATGCTATCTGGAGATGTATAAATAGGTCCATCCTGAAGAAAATTTCCAGTTTTGACTACTATGCATTGACATCTAACATCCATCACTAGCGTGGAGCGTGTAAAACTTCACACACAGTTCTCAGATTTGTCACTATCACACAGTCCATTTCTTTCTGTTTTTTTCCAGCCATTGTCTCATCCATGTGATGTAGATGGTTCCTTGCTAACCTACAGGTCACAGGTAATCCGGGCAGAATTGCTGAGAGTTCGTTACGTTTTAAGAAGTCACACTTCCCCCTGGTGACTGGCTCCCATTCAGCAAGTCTTGAGGAGGCTGGTCCATCCATGCTCAGCTTCAAGGCTTTGTCTCCTAAATCCAGTGGTTAGAAAACAGAGGCCTGCCTTTCACCAAGTAGGTTCTTCACGTCCAGCATCCCAGACCTCGGCAGGTTCCTCCTGCTGGCATTGCCATGAAAGCACGGGCAACAGCTCCAGTTTGCTTTTTTGCCAAAGCTACCTCTTTCCTCAGCTGTATCCTAACACATCTTTGTACAGTTCTGGAACTCTTTCAGGATCCACAGGCCGGGGTAAGAAATGCGTGAATTTCTGGTGTCTTTTGGACCTTGCCCCATCTCTGGGAGTACCGTCTTTATTAAGTGCTACAAAGTACCTCCGCCCTGAATCCCCATGTTTGTACACATTGGATGAGTAGGTGTTGTACCAGTTTTCCTCAAATTGCTCCCTGAAGATGCACTCAGAAGTTAGTTTCTCCTACAGAAAGAGAGGGAAAAGAAAAATAAGTTAAACTGTCACTAGATATTTGAAGACATGAAAAATAATATGATAAAAATAAACAAAATGCTTTATGATTTGTGTAGCCTTACTGTTCATTTAAATGTCAACAAACCAAACCCAAGGAAAGTATGCAGACTCAACAATGAGTTTGGAAACTTGGACCTGTACACCTACAATTTTGTATTTAGTTAACATTTTTAATTAGTTAACATTTACTGTAAGAAATCTTTGCTTATTTATGACTTATTTAAAATTCATCTGATTTACAGGAATTATATTATGTAGAGTACTGTCCTAGAAATGAGATTTGATAGAGGGACTCAGATGCAACGTAACAGAGCAGGAAGGTATTTACATATTTCTTTGTGGTGTGCATCACTTCTCACATTTTCAACTGGAATGACCACAACCGAAGGAAGTGGAGAAACAGAGTATTTTATCTGAAGATGTTTTAAAACTTGAAAGAAGAGTAGGACTGGCATTACCCTTATAGCTTTGTAAAAATCGATTCTATTTTGTTGAAGTATCCAAGGCTACACCGTGTACTTCAAAAACATATTACACATTCCAACAGGAAAAGATGTTAGTATTTTGAAAGCTGAGATGAAATTCTTGAGGAAGAAGAAGTAAGCAAACCAAAACCTAAAGATGTATGAGCTGATATGAAAGTGGTACTTACAGAGCCATAGAGTTCTCCCTTTTCATTCATTCCAAGGTAAAGGCCACTGTCCACGCCTCTAATACTGACCAGTCCCACTGCCACACTGATGAATTCAAGGATACCTGGGGGAAAAAAAATTGCTTTAATTAATTTTGTAACCATAAAATACATAGCATGCAAAAACTCAGTTGAAAACAAGTAGAAAATGCACATATTATAGTAAATGTGGCCTAGTTTCTCTGAAATTTCAAAAACTATGGGAAAAGGTACAAAGCGTTCACAGGAAAGCAGTCCAAGAAGCCTCAACTAGGAATATGTATCCTACACCACTTAAGAAACTTTTTTAAAATGTTGAATATGAAAGGATTTTATTCAGCACTGTGACTAAAGCCATTACTACCATGCTGTTGGAGTCTTTAATGATTGTACACTATTTGCTAAACTGCCTACTCAAATATTGAAAGATCAGTTTGAATTACCTGAAAATATACTACTTATACAGAGTTATCTAAAAAAAAATAAAATCCATTATTAGGTCATTTGAATGGAAATCAAAGCAGAGATGGGAATTTTATATAACAGAATCTACCCACAGAAAAAGAAAAGCATTTGCCAGACATCTTATCTAGCATATGGGCCCACACCTCTTGACACAACTTGCTGTCTTTAGTGCAGGCTTTTAAAGTACATAAAATATGCTGCTTTTCTTGCTACCGTTTGAATTATAACATTATTTATATTACATTTGCCCAAAAATGTAATATATATTAATAAAGTATTTTGAGACATGAGGTACTATTTGAAGCCTGAATTTGGCAAAGGTAAGCCAACATACTTAAACAATTGATATGCACAGATTACAGCACATCCAAAACATGAAAGAAAAGGAATGTGTGAACTAGCTTTTTGGAAGTTGTTAACAATGTAAACAAAGCCTCAAAAAGAAGTGCCAGAATCATATCTAAGATATTACTGTTCAGCAGCAAAACCACAAAACATTAAAAAAAAAATCCTGAATCTAAAGTATATAGTTTCAAATAGTGCAGCTGATTATGATTCTTTGTTTACTATTTATGATTTCAGGACAATTTTCACTCCCAGACAAATGGACTATGTGGACTATACAGAAAATAATATAAAATGTTTTCAATTTTAATTGAGCTTTGGCAGGTTTCTTAGTTGTCTTAAGAAGCAGCAAAGAAAATAAACCCTTTACAAAGAGTAAGCGTTAAAAACTGTATCACACATAAATCATCCTAGTTTTCCAGTTCATAAAGCACAGAGTCCCATAAAAGATTTGGAGTCATTTTGTCTTTCTGATATCATTTTCAAAGCCACCCTTTTCCGAAAGCATAATAAGCAGGTGATACAACCCACAAAGAAACCACATCAGACAAACCTGCCAAGAGTAGTGGTAGAATAAAGGTAGTACAATTCTAAAAAAACTTAGTAAATGTTAGATCTATGGCTAACTTAATTTTCCTTTTAAAGCAAAGATTTATTTCATGTTTACACGCTGTAGGAAATATTCCTTCTGAAAAGATCTGGTTAACTACTGCTCCTCTACTTCTTAAAACATCCATGTGTTATAAAAGCAATTAAGAGCCATTCCAGCAGATTGTTTTGACTATAGGGAGGGTGATAGAAAGCTCTTTAATCACCTTTTTATGACTGCTAAATCAATACACGCCAAAACTCACATGTAGTTGACAACAGCATATTTGTTCGCATGTCCAGCTTCTACAATTACTATTTAGGATTTACTGTCATATCACAGGAAATGTTTATGTTTTGGGGCTGTCTTCACCTCCTTTGGGTTTATAGACAGAGAAAGCTGATTGGGAAGCATTTTAGGCACTTGATCAAAGAGGCATTTTAGGCTCCTCTGCTTCAGCTTTATGTCCCATGAAGCAAAGCAGTCTAATGCAGTCTAAGGATCAGCATGCCCAAGTCTGTGACCTATACTGTTTTAGAGAGACCCAAGAAGCTCCAATACCAATAGTGAATACAAAAAGGGTCAGTCTGACTCTTGACCATTCCCACTAAACCTACCGGTGTATGCTTGTGCTTATAGACCCCAGCACAGATTGAGCAACGCCTGTCTCCGGGCTCACCTGGGATGCACAGCCCTCCCTCACTACCCTGCCATGGTGCAGACCCCACGGTCAAATGCCGGAGGGTGAAGCCTTTCTGCTCTGAGGACTCATCCACCTGCCTCAGCATCACCAGCATCTCATCTCCCTCCCAAGAACACGACCACTCCCGCCCAGGTACACACAGATGCGTTTACACACACACACACACACACGCACACACACAGACGCACACACACACACACAGGCGGGGCCGTGCCGCAGCCGCATACCGAAGAGGCTGTGGTCCTGGCGGGTGCCGCGCACGCTGCCGTCGGGCAGGATCTGCAGGTGGAAGCCGGTGCGGCAGTACAGCTGCCGCCGCCGCAGGATGCCCTGCAAGTGCGCCAGGTCCGCCGCCGCCGCCGCCGCCGCCGCCGCAGCCGGGGCGCGCCGATCTCCCCGCTCCGCCGGGGCGCGGCGGTCTCCGAGCAGCGCCGGGCGCTCCCCGGCGGGCGGCAGCAAGAAGTGGGCACCCACCGGCTGCCCCAGGCCGTCCAGGCCGCCCAGGAAGCCGCCCACCTCGGCCAGCGGAGCCATGCGGGCGCGGGGCGTGCGGGCTAGGGCGCGGCGGCGGCGGAGAGCGGCTGCCGGCCTCTCCCGGTGGGCATGTAGGGGTGCGCGGCGGAGCCCCAAGCATGGGGAGCCGGCAGGGCCGAGCCGAGCGGAGCCGCTGCGAGCCGAGCCGTGCTGATGCGAGCCGGTGCGAGCCAGGCGGCGGGGTGCTGTTCATCAGCCTCGCGCGTGTGTATATATATACGGCGGTCCCCTGACATATGCTAATGAAGCCGCTGCGGGGAGGCCGCGTTTGAAATTGTAAACCGGCTCCCCCTCTGCTCGCACCTTCCTCTGATCTGCCGTGACGGCGGGGAGGGGGCTCCGGGCGCGCCCCCCGCGCGCAGCCGGGCGCGCACACGCGCGGCGGGGGCGGGGGCGCGGGCGCGGCCCCTGCGCCGAGCGGAGCGGAGCGGAGCGGGCAGCGGGGGACGGGCGGGAGCTGCCGGAGCATTACGTGGACAGGTGCAAGGAGAGGCAGGAGGGAAGAAGGAGAAAGGGCGTTACCTGAGGGTTAGACCTGCCCAGACACAGATGAAAGAAAAAACCCGAAGATCTGACAGTTTTACTCCCTGTTTCTGAAACGCTAATAAAATGAACATGCATTACGCTTCCCTTTTATCGCTTCAACTACAAGGAGGGGAATTTCTAAAGAAATTGGCATAGTCAGGGAGGTGCTTTCCCCTCTGCAAATTCTCCCTCACATTTAATTTATCATTGACGTGATAGTATTTGGGTATTGACAGGAGATCTTAAAAACATAAATGGGCAGCCCCATCGTTTGGGATAAATATTTTCAAAACTTGCAGAGAAGAAAGAAAGATTGAGAGGTGGCGCTCATCTAATCCATCTTCTTTGGGGTTTTTCATTGGGCCCGTAGCCAAGGTCTGTGAACATCATAAATTAGCAGTATCATCTACTGAAAGATCCCCGTTGTAGTTCTATAATGTTTTGAATCAGTTTGGGACTTTGTTGTTCTGTTCCAGATGAGCATATGCACTTTTTTTCATCCCCAGAGTAGAATGTTTCACACAGGAAAATATATTTTGGTGGAAAACATGTTCACCTGGTAATGGTAAAACAATGGTAAAACTACATTAAATCCAAGAGCTTGACTTTTGCCATCTTTCCTGCTTTTTCTGTAAAGTCTAATGAATTTTAGGGCTTAAATGACATGACCTATCTTAGCATCTAAGATATGCTGTTCCTTGCCAGTGTTAAAACATGGTATTGGAGTATAAAATGTAAAGATCTTTCACAGTTAATTCTTTCAAAAGTTCAAGAGAATCACTCGGTGGTTTAAGGTTTCATTTAAACAAAAAAGTTGCAGAGAATCATGAGAGATTAGTTCTCCCGTCTTACTTCATGGTCTTTTCAGTCACAGTCTAAATCTGAGAGATCAAATGGATTTGACTGCTTACCTTTGCTATGGAGAGTATAGGGCTAATTAATTGGCAGGTGCTTTAAAGCAGGTAATGTGACACCTTTTCATCATTGCAGTCCTAAGTACTGCCCCTGTGTGCACCTGAATTATAAAAAGGCTGCTTTAAAGCAAGTGATTTACTGTGGAGGGATTTAAAACTGAAAAAATTAATGCTAAATACAATGATCAGATAAATCACCTCAGAGGAGAGCACTGGCAGACCTGTTCTGAAGGCAGTTACAGATAGATGTTATATTATTTTACCTTTCAGATAACAGGAGCCTGTCATGTGGTCAGACCCAAAAATCCACCATAATCGAGATTTCAAAGCACATCTGTGTAAACATTATCACATCAGTGTAAAACATCAACCAATGAGCTTTCTCTTTGAAGCAAATCTACTTAATTGTAGTGCTAAATCAAAGAAATAGATCAAAGTTGAATAATCTATATGGCACCTATTTCTCAAATAGCCTGTTCACTGATTACTCAAATACACCAAAAACGTTTGAAATAAACATCAAGTATTTTTATTGACATGACTGGCAGGTCAAGATCAAACTGTTCGTCACAGCTGTTAAGTTGCAGGACATGCACCAGGATGGTACAATTAAATGGAGGAGGTATATTGTTCTAGGGCTAAAGATGCTCCCTGTATATACAGATACTGTTCCTGGGTCCAAGCAGTACCCTCAAGTCCTACAAACATTAGAGGGATCTAGATAACATCACTGTCTCCAGTAGAGAAGGGTTGGGGCTATTTTGAAGAAAAAAAAACCTTCAGCCATCACACACTGAAAGACCCTTATGGCTAAATCTTTCCTGTTATATAATGGAAACATTTAAAGTAGAGCGGAATACATAACACCGATCTTTTCTGAGTGGAGTCTTTAATGTCTGGGAACTAAACCGGTTATGCTGTTTTATAAAGTACCAGAAAAGAAACAAAAAGATAAGATTTTTGTGTGTGTGTGTTTGCACTAGTCATGTGACAGGAAAAGATAACGCTAAAGATTTTTTTTTTTTGCACCTTCTGAAACTATACCATGGGAAGTTAAATAATTTTGAAGAGTTATTTTACAAGAGTACATAATTCAACTTAAAGTATACAGTACAATCTAATCGACTCTACATATACTTCCTCAAGACGGCACTTTCAGTGTCATTGAACAAATATATATGTGGTCAAGTCTTTATTTCCATAGCAAGTTGTTGGACTTCTATAGACAATAAAATTACTGTATATTTCCTAAGAATAGCATGTTGTCATAAGCAAAACCTAGTGGCTACCAAGGGAAGAGAGAATGTAATGGACTGAAGTCTTTCATAGATAGTCTGTATAAATATGGAGAGACAGCTCAATCTGCATATCAATAAAACTCCTGTTACCTATAAAACTTTAGGTCCTGCAATTTATTGCACCTTGGTTAATTTTAGAACTCCCTCACAACAGTTCAGTGCCAGCCATAAATTTTTAATTATATAATAATATATTGGAAAGGGAGGGTTCATGAAGACATGAGAAAGCAAACATTTGGTGGAATAAAAACCATGGTGCAGCACACATGTTATGTCCAGCTGGAGATACCTATGTGTCATGGCCAGTTTCAGATTCTTCCTAGATTTGGACACAAAAATCTGGTTTTCTGCTTTCAGGAAGGTGATCAGAACATGCACAAATTACAATAAGTGCCTTTCTAAGCACTGCAAATCTGAATGAAAAAGGTGTATCCTTGTGTAGAATTCATTAGGAAGAACAAGGTTCCATGTACAAATTAGGCCACAATCTGATGATGTAAAGCCTTTAAAATGCAGTACATGCAGATTTTAAAAACATTGAAAGCTTTCTCTTCAGAACAGATATAGCAGCAAGTATGTATACATACATGTATATTTATATTTAACTATTTAAGAAAACTCAGATAAGAAAAAAGCAATGATGATTTTTTTTTTTCCTATGGGAAGGAAGTTCTGCTTTTCTTACACCTTCATGCTTTGTTTTATTTCTTTAATTGAAGACAGAAATTCATAGGGCTTTTTAAGATTCATGATTTTACCGTCCATGTTTTTGTGGACACACATGAATAAACACCTGTATATGCAGAATGGAGCAGAGAAGCAATTGCAATGAGCAACATTTACATGGCTACATCCAGCAAGAATAAACGGTTTCCATGTGTCAATATACAAGTGCCTCATTTGGCAGCTTTTTCATTAGTCCTATAAGTGAATCACTTAAGTAAATAAATAAGTGAAGGATTAAAACAACCTTAATTTATTTAAATTACATGCTTTCTGAATCTGTGCATACAAGATGTTCAGACAGCTTATGTTTTTAGACTTGCTGCACAAATAAATTTCGTTCTTGTTCCTAAGAACACACCTTGTGAGGGAAGTTCTGCCTAAAATTACCTGGGTGTAAGTCGTTGCAGATGTGAATTGGATTTTTGAAGTGAAAGAAATTTTAGCCTAAAGGTGTTATTGAAAAGTAAATAAAATGTGGCTAACTAATTTCAGGAAAGCAGTGTGAACAGGGAGATAACTCATGGCTCATGACTATATGACTACAGGACTACGTCAAGGGGACTGATGAGCTCTTAACAGGTTTACTTTGGGACACCACACTGACCAAAAGCCAATTTCTCTTCCAGTCAAACCAAAAGGGTAGACTATTTGAAAAAAGTAATTGTATTGGTGAATGATGTCTCCTAATGAGGCAGCTAGAATTGATAAGATCCAAGAGCCACATGCTACAAAATTTTTCAGACTGGATGCTTAAGTCATGTACTTGCAAGAAAAGTACTCATGTTTCAGTCATGTTAAGCATTAGAAACCTTGACTCCTAAATGCTGGTCTCCATATTGGCCTTTAGTCATTTAGTACAGAGATAAGTAACTCAGACTTTCAGACAAGGATTTTGCCTGGGAGTCATACATATAAAGTATTTATAAAATAAAGCAGTGGATTATAAAAAAGCCTAAAAAATAGTTTGACAGTTTGGAATAATGAAGTCAAGAGAATTACTTGATGGATTAATTGGCTTAAAGTATTCTAAAATTTTGAAAGAAATGCAGTAAATCTATCATTCAGCCCAGATACCTGCCTTTGCAGATATAGCTCTGAGGTAACTCAACCTTGGCCATTCTTGCAGTTGCATGATCTGACAGACTATCAGTGGCCACACTTACTTTTTGACACATATCTTAACCACCAAATGCAACTGAAAATGCATGAGAGTGTCTTAAAAAGTATCAAGTTATCATTTGTGTATTTTCTGAAATTCTTGTTCATAATAATATAAAAAGTCATTAGAGATTGGTGGGGAGGATGAAGGATAGGTGGTTAAAACTTGGGGAAAATGTACTTATGTAAAGAAGAAAAAGATAGACTTTACCATTGCAAAAAAATGCCATAAGATGTGCTGGGTCTTGAAACGTCTGTGTGCAGTTTATAAAGTTTCTAGGTAATGCAGGTGGTGATGCAGGTTGTACCGTGGAAGAACGCCCTAACATAAAATGCCTGACAAGATTTATTGCCCATCAGCATCAAGTAGGGACAAAAT